CGTCAGCTGCGTACGTCCACTGCTGTCTACTCGATGCAATGCAATAGCATTCTAATCCGTGTGTGATAGTACATCGCCAACTTCAGCGACGGGTTCCAGAACCAACTGGCCAACCCCACCAATGTCATCTTCACCCACCTGCTGGGGAAATCCGGGTACCCGGCCGAGATGAAGACGCGGATCAGCAACTCGCTGATCATCGGGGCCATTCTGGGGGTGCTGGCGCTGGGGTACGTCTCCGACATGATCTCCCGCCGGGCGGGGCTGCTCTTCACCTCGGGGCTGGTGACTGTCAGCACCCTGATGGCCGCCGTGGCGCTGGACGTGCACCCTTCCCCCAACATGCTGTGGTACTTTGTCATCGTGCGGGGGATCTGTGGGTTTGGCGTTGGGGGTGAATACCCTCCCAGCGCCGCTGCCGGCCTCGAGGAATCCGACGACGTGAGTTCTCTCTCTGCAACAACAACAACAACAACAACAGCAGCAGCAGCTGTGTATCTTATGTATCGGAACTAAACGAGCCCCCAGTTCAACCGCCGCTACCGCGGCCCGGTCTTCGTCTCCTTCACGACCCTAATGGCGACGCTGGCCGCCCCAATCCTGATGATCATCTACCTGATCACGCTGAAAGCGAGCGACAACAACCTGCCCGTGACCTTCCACGCGCTCTACGCGATCGCGACGATCATCCCGGCGACGATCATGGTGCTGCGCTTCTTCATGACGGACTCGACGCTGTACCACCACAGCAACTTCAAGCGGCAGCGCCGCAAGCCGCTGCGGTTCTACTGGCTGCTGGCGCGGCGGTACTGGCGGCGGCTGGCGCTGACCTCGCTGGCGTTCTTCCTGTACGACTTCATCAACTTCCCCAACAGCATCATGTCGAGCAGCATCATCGCCTCGATGGTGACGGACGGCGACCTGCAGACCACCGCCGTGTGGCAGGTCATCCTGGCGGTGCTGCCGGTGCCCGGCGTGCTGGTGGGCGCGTACCTGACCAACGCGATCGGGCGCCGCTGGACGGGCATCGCCGGGTTCGCCGGGTATGTGGTGCTGGGGTTCATTATCGGGGGCTGCTATACGCTGCTGTCGCGGCATATCGCCGCGTTTGTCGTGCTGTACGGCCTGCTGCAGGCCTTCGGCCACATGGGCCCCGGCGCGACGATCGGGCTGATCAGTAGCGAGTCGTTCCCCACCGCCATGCGCGGCATAGGGTACAGTATCGCGACGGCGTTCGGGCGCACCGGCGCCGCGGTCGGCACGGAGTGTTTCACTCCGTTGCAGACGGCGGCGGGCGATAGTGCTACGTTCTATCTGCTGGCGGGTGTGGCCGTGCTGGGGATGGTCGTGTATTGGTTCCTGCCGGAGAGTGGGGAGTTGGATCTCGAGGCCGAGGATCGCGAGTTGGAGAGGTACATGGGGATGCATGGGTTTATGATGGAGAAGAGTCAGTAGGGGGTTCGAGGGAGGGTGCTCGTTGCATATAAGCTAGAGCTAGATTACGATCAGTCATGTGGTTATGATTATGAGAGACGTTACAGCGGGAAAGATGGAGTTGATAGACATGTACTGTACAGCCATTGTGGCATATACTACAATGCAACAACTCAAGTCAATCTAAGCACAACAAACACATCCATCCACCCACCCATTACATCCATCCCAAGCAAAAGCACACTTAAAAGGTATCTCAGCACACATCCCACCCCCATTAATTAATCGTATATCGCATCACCTAAACCTCTCCCAACCCATGAGCACAGCCCCCAAATCACCCCAGCAAGAATCACCAAACCAGACTTACCACTCATGAAGTACTTTCAACCAACCCCGAGCAACTCACCACCTCCCCCCGCGCCCACCAAACCCCCCCCCACCGCCACGACGGCCACGACGGCCACCACCAAACCCCCCCGGTCCGCCGCCACCACCACCCCACCCGCCAGGACCCCCAGGACCCCCGAACCCACCACCACCATAGTGATGATGATGACGACCACCACCGAACCCACCGCCGCCGCCCATCGGCATCCCCCCGCCCCCGAATCCACCAACCGGTCGAACCGGAGGCCCGCCCATCCTGCCGCCCATCATTCCACCGCCCCGACGGCGGCGGTTGCCCATGAGAGACATGCAGGTTCCCATCTTGATTTCGGGTAGAAGGAGGTGTATATCGCGATCGTTCTAGCTTCTAATAGCAGAATTGTAGGAGGAGGAGGAGGAGGAGGAGGAGGAGGAGGTAAAGCTTCGTGAATCGTCTAGCCGGAAGCGACCAAAGAGGAAGCAAAGAATCTCGTAATTTTTGCCGAATGTGCAGAGTCTATCGGCGGTCATGTGCAAAGGATAATCTCAGTGCAACTCGCAGAAAAAGAATCTCGTCAACAACAGATCCCGAAAAGAGGTATATGTAGTGAATTTCTTGTTTCCAAGAGAACAAAAAACCTTCAAGGTTAAATACCTCATCCCCCGCGGGCGAAAAAGAGTATTACGCGCGGCCTGGTTCCTGGGCGTGCGAAGTCGTTGCGTCATCGGCGCGGCGCAGTCCCCAGGCGATACTCGGGGTGGGTGTTGAGTGGGAGGGTGGGTGGGTGACATCAGCGGGACACCACAGTCGCCCTGTAGGGCTGGCTGGGCTGGCGCGGGCTTTAATCCGGTTAACCTTATCTTTCTGCCCCCATGGGTCTTTTCATCCACAGACTTGACACAAAGGAATGGGGGAGTTCAAGGTGGAAGTATGGTATGACGACAACCGGAGTAGGTTTCATTGGACCGATCCATAATTCCTCCGGTAGGGTAAGGTGCAATACGATACTAATAAATGTACTTGAACTCCAACTCCGCATCCCCGGACTGCACCCGCCGCCGGTCCTCCATCTTCCCCTCCAAGATCTCCGCCTTGACCCGGTTCTCCCGGCGCAGATACAGCGCATGCGCCGTCACCACCCCCTGCGCGACAATTAACGCACCCATCGAGAACGAGTTGCCCAGCACGTACGGCGACGACCGGTACACCTGGCCCGCCACGATGCCCGCGCAGTTGCCGACCGTCTGCTGGAGGCCGACGGCCAGGGCGCGCCGGTACTGCGGGGCGAAATTCACGTTCAGCCACGCCACGTTCAGCCCGACCCCCGTGTACACCGCCACGCCGCAGAGGTAGGTGGCGAAGTATTTGACCGGGTCGGAGGGAACGGCCAGCAGCAGGATGTAGCCCACGATGCCGAAGATGTTGGTTCCGACGATGAACTGTTGACGGAGTCTGGTCAGCTAAATATCAACGAATTATTAATGCTGGGGAGATGCATACGACAGCGAATTTCGAGTACCGATCCGCGAAGAACGCGACCGTGACGGATACTGCGGCGGCCCAGATGTACACCGGGACGGTGAGCACGTTGCTCATCAACGAGTTGTAGCCCAGACTCCCGAGGATGGTCGGTAAGAACGTGCTGAACCCGTAGAGCAGGATGTCCTGGCAGAATTGTGTGATAGCGCTAAAGATCAGTTTGGGGTCCCGCAGGGCCAGTCGCATCTCCTCCCAGCTGAAGTGGTCGCTTCCCATGTATTTCTGGCGCTGAGCGTTGCGGACACGCATCATGTACCGCTCTTCTTCAGTGAGGAAGTAGGCGGTTGTCGGGTCGTTGGGGAGGCCAAACCAGACGAGCAGCGCACAGATGATGCTGAAAAGGCCCTCGATAATGTAGACCCATCTATTTTGTTGGCTGTCAGCTGCCCTACACTAGGGCCAAGAAGACAATGTATCCCGGGGGGGGGGGGGGAGGGGTGAATACCTCCAACCAGCTTTCCCTGCAACACCGTCCATGTGCAGTAATGCGTAGGCTAGTAAGCCTCCTACTGCACCAGAAATGGCAGCACAGCTCATCAGGTACGAGACTCGCTTAGCTTGCTCCTCGCGCCGGTAGACCATGGTGAGGTATAGGTTCAGACAAGGGAAAAGACCCGCTTCGCAGGCTCCGAGGATAAGACGGGTGGCGTAGAGAGAGGCGACATTGTGAATAAAGCCAGTGAAGACGGTGGTGATGGACCAGACGATGCACAAGCCCGTGAGGATGTTGCGGGGGGTCAGCTTCTTCATCGCGACCGCCCATGGCGACTCAAGCAGGACGTAAGTGGCGTAGAAGATCGAGACAGCGATAGAGAACTCGTTGGTCGAGGCCCCAATGTCCTCGGGCATTCCGGCTACTTTGACATTTCCTGAGGACCTTTAGCAAGATGAAGACACTCGTCTGGGACAGCACACACCGATGTTGCTCCGGTCGAGGAAACAGGACAAATAGGTCAACATGATGATAGGCACGAAAGCAAGGTCCAGCTTCAGGAGAAGCTTCTTCTCCTTGACTGGATCCAGCACCACATCGTCGATATCGCCCACATCGGTCTCCTCGGTGGTGTTCTGCGGGGGTGGTTTCTGGACCGTCTGTTTACGGTCCAGAGGGATATCATCCGCACGTTCAAAGGACATTAGTGTCACAAATGGATAGAGATTGATGGCCCTAGACAGCTGTCACTCCGACCTGGAACACTCAAGGGGGTGCCAGGGGCGACATTAAGAACCGTGGAAACATCAAGGCTCTGGCACTTGTCAAAGTGACATAGATCCCCGGCGATAAGAAAGGGGAAAGAGGGGAGTCTCCAAACCGGCTATCTCCAACCCGGTACGCCAATCACCGGCAATTGACAAAAGCATTCACCAGGGTTACAGCTGCATCGGCCCGATAGTCTGATAAGCGGTGGAGATAGCGAGGATGTCATTGGTGCAGTGCCTCGAGACGATGGGGTTGTGATGCGGGGATCGACTGATGCTTATCATCGCCATCCCGCATATCGGAGCCCACATGCCGATACCACTGATATGGGGTATTTACTTTCGAGCAGAACTACCAATTGATTGCATAACATTATATCAACAGCAGAACCTTACCTTACACAGACAAGACAGCTGGATTGACACTCCCAAGCTTCTACTCACAAACGAAAGCACAATGACAAAAGACACCCTCCCAAGCCACCAAACCCGCCTCGCCAGCCGCGCCAACCAAATAACCAACACCTCCGGCCTAGCCCCAGGCCACCTGCAAGCCAACCTCCTAATCCTCCCCGCCCGCTACAGCCAAGACTTCCACCAACTCTGCCTCCGCAACCCGGTCGCCTGCCCCCTCCTCGGCATCTCCACTGAACCAGGCAACCCCCACCGCATCCAGCCCGCAGGCTGCATCACCACCGGCCCAGACGACTTCGACATCCGCACCGACTGCCCCCTCTACCGCATCTACAAGCACGGCAAACCCATCGCCACGCACCAGAAGACCCTCCTCCCCTTCTGGCCGAACCCGGACCCATCCCCTCAACAACCCGCACAGCATGAAGCATACGTATCCTTCCTAATCGGCTGCTCCTACTCCTTCGAATCCGCCCTCACCGCCGCCGCCCTGCCCCCGCGCCACCAGACCACCCAAACCCTCGTCCCCATGTACCGCACCACCATCCCGCTCCTCCCCGCGGGCATCTTTACCGGTGGACGCACCGTCGTCTCCATGCGGCCGTACCCGGCCCACGAAGTGGAGCGGGTCCGCGCCCTGACGCGGCCGTTCCTGGCCACCCACGGCGAGCCCGTCGATTGGGGGTGGGAGGCGCTCTCCCGGTTGGGGATTGGGGATCTGCAGGCGCCCGACTTTGGGGAGCCGGTGCCTGTGGAAGAGGGGGAGGTGCCGGTTTTCTGGGTGCGTATTTTCTTTTCTTTCTTCCTTGATTGCCATGTTGATTTTACGTTATTTCCCCGGGGAAGTGCGGGGGATGGTGGGATGTGGGGCCTTACGAGGGGGTGTGGGGAGGTTTGGTTGGGGTTGTAGGCTGGGTTTCATTGCTAATTTGTCATGTCAATATTGCAGGCTTGCGGGGTTACGCCGCAGTTGGCGGTGGAGGCTGCCGGGGAGAAAATCGAGGGGTTGGTGTTTGCGCATGAGCCGGGCCATATGTTGGTCACGGATTGGAGGGAGGAGGACTTGGTGAGGTTGGGGCGGGGGTTGGGGGTTTGAAAAGGTCTAAGTGGAGGTGGGTTGGGAGGATTATGCTAATAACTAGGAGGTCGTGATGCTGCTTATGACCAAAGAGGGAAGATTCGTTCAATGACATGACTCAACCTCTATGACACAGTTATCAGTTCATCATATACTCGCAACATCACTGCCACCGTCAACCACCTTTTGGTTCACACCCATCACTTCCTCATCATTACACATCGCAACCACGGCCGTTATACAGGCATGTTATATACTTCATTCCTCAATCCACACCCCGTTCACCAATAATCTCACTTCTCCCTCTCCTCTCCCGTAGTTCCCAGCTCCTCCTCGATCTCCAAACTAAACCTCGCAAACTGGCTCCGAGCCCGGATCCGCTCCCCGTAGCACATGAACAACACGGGCACGGCACAGAATCCCGTCGCCAGGGCCGCCAGCACCGAGACCGCGACATTGGCCCCCATCCCATCGAACATTTGTCGGGTGAACAGCGGGAAAGCCCCGGAGGCCATCGCCCTTAGGAACTGGACGGCTGCCGTTCCGCTCGCCGCGTAACTCAGATAACTGTCGGACAGGTACCCGTACAGAACGGTGTCGAATTCGTTGAGCGCAAACCCCATCATGACCAAGGCGATGGTCGGGACAATCCAGGGGAGATCGCTGATGCGCGGCGGGATCGTCCAGGCAAACCACCAGAGCGCCAGGGCGAAGATGGGCGCGCCAATCACCAGTCCGTACAGTTTATCTTCGGGCTTCACAGGCTGCTTCGCGGCTTTGCGGGCATCGAAGATGCGATGATCCAGAAACCGCGTGAAGGTGCTGAAGACTACCCCCACTCCGATTGCCACGAAAGCAAGGCACGACTGGGCCGAGGTGTAGCCCATTGACTCGTAGATGGGCTGCAGGGCTTCGGTGAAGATATAGACCAGGGAGAAGGAGAAGGCAATCATGATGGCGACGATGAAGATAAGCAGCTCGCCGAAGAAGAGCTGCAGGGGGCGGAACAGGGAAACGCGGACGAATGTTCGGAAATTCGGGGTGTGGTCGGGATTGAGCGGCTGTAGGGTCTCGTTGCCAGTCTCGTGGCGGATTCGCGTGACTTCGCGGGAAAGGAGGAGGGATGGACGGGATTCTTTGATGACGAAAAAGAACGCGGTAAGGACGGCGAATATGACGGCGTAAATGTAGAATACCCAGCGCCTATAATGATTGGGGATGTCAGTCAATAGTGCTACAGGTGTGATGCAGACAACGAAGCATACCAATCCATGTGAGCAGAGATATATGTGCTCATGATGGGCCCAAGCAGTAAGCCCACGTTAGACGCAATGGTCCAGATGAAGATCACCCATATCCTGGCCCGCGAATCGAACATCTCCTCAATGCTGCCTCCGCCAACAGTGTAGGGTACCGCCGAGAGACATCCCGCAATGATACGCGCCGGGATCACCGCACCCAGCGAATGCGTCATCCCAATAACCAAGCAGCATACTGCACTTCCCGCAGAACTTATGATGTAAAGGTTTTTGCGGCCAAAGGACTCCGACCAGGGTGGAAATATGACAGCTCCGAATATCTGACCCACGAGAAATCTGTCTTGTCAGTATCATCGACACAGCCCTAGCCGTAGAGCGAATCTCTTACAGTGTCACGAAGATAAATGTTGCAAGGGTATTGCCGATATGATAGTCAACCTGAGCCTTTTGAGCCGCCAATGTCTAGACACGTTAGAAACCTCCGACAATACACAACAGGGCAGGGGGTGGCGGTATTACTCCGGCTGTGCTTGTGGCAGTCCTATTAGCTGTCAGCTATTGTCCGTTTCTGCTCATACATAGCGGTAAACATACGTGAATGTATCCAGAAGGAAGATGATACTACTATCAAAGGTCTTCCGGCTGGTCGGCCAGTTGCGAGGCTGCTTCTTGTTATACTTGCCCCAGCGGACGTACTGGCCGTCGGCTGTGAGCTCAAGTTGGTTCTTGAGCAAGTACTCGTCCATCGCAATAGACTCGGAGACTATGGCTGTCGATTCTGTCTTCATTTTATCGGATGTAATTGCCTGGGGAAAGCGTCAAAGCCAGGGAAACATATAGATAGGCCTTTCACGGGGAGAATATCCCGGGCCATGCCTGGTGGAGGCTACAGCAGCTACCGCATTTCTCACGGCCAGCCATGCTGGAGAGATCGACACAGCTGCCAAGTCGACTCCCCCTTGTTGGTGATGCTGGACGTCATGACCGCGTGTATCTTTTGCAGTCAAGGTGATGTGATAGGCCACGCCTGTCATGACCACAGAGAGAAATCGTCCTCCTGGGATTGAGGAGCCAGGTGATCATCATGGAGCTTCGAAGAGGTTGCTCTTGAAGGTCGACTAAGCTTGTCTGTGACTTGGAGGGGCGAGCAAGGGATGAGGGACCGACGTCTGATATGTAGGGCATTAGTCGATGCGACCATCTTCCTTCATAGATCATATGGAGTGTGCTTCTGATGTAGCCCTGGGGAATGCCCCGTCTCTCGAACCAGACAAGGCATTCTCAGACAGATACAGCATCCTAATCGAAGTTTTGTGTCCATGAACTCATTATCTTCACCTCTCAGATGAAGTGGTAAAAGTAACGGGTTGAGAACTCAGCGGAGGTGGAAGAACATTCCACGCCGGACGATGCCTGGGGCTCCCTTCCCTCTTTAGCTTCCTCCAATGCAAGGGGTGCACGAAGATGACGAATAGGGCGCGTACAATGCATCTGCTCGGAGAATTTTCTATTGCCAGATTCAGGCAGTCTCTCCTATGGTTTCCTTGAATCAGCTTCTGATGCATGACTTGGCCATCCCTTGGCCCACAAGTTCTTTCTGAGGTGATCCTATTTGACCCTGAGCCCGCCATACCTCGGACGCACGACCACCTGCAGTTTCGCATGATGTGCATAGTATGACATAGACACCTAGTATTCATCATTACAAATCCGAGCTGTTACATGCAGTAACTGAGTCCGTGAACGGATCATTTGAAAATTCCGATGTCCCTTGCGATTATGCTTTTTGATTCATTGGTTCCATGAAGGATATAGTATCTACACAGTCGATGGCCAAGACCCCCATTGAAGCACTCTAATTCTACGCTAAGGGAACGGCACGCCTATCATCACAAGCCAATCGACGACAATTATCCAATTGTTCGAGCTAGGGAAACTTGCTCTCTCACGGCAGTACGGATATATTATGCTACAGAGAGGCCCAGCATCTAAAACATTAGACAAATCCAATTCTCCGAAGACGGATATACCGCGCCCGAACCCCGTCTCCGCCCCGAAACTCATCTCCGTTCATCAAATGAAGCTACAATGAATCTTGGGGTCTGCATCCTCCAGCCTATGAGGGGTCACCTCGTATAGCCCACCTGCACCCACAGCCAATCACCAGGCTGAACCATGGAACCCCCGATCATCGGATCGGATCAGATAAGATGTCCGGTCACAACAGTGGGGAGTAGAACGGTACTAGTATTTAGATCAGCTCATTCGGAGCAACCGAATCCTTTTGTCCTGTATTAGGAGACAGTAGGGACCGTATATATACGTCTTCATTCACCCAGTCCATTGTCCCCAGAGACCACAACAGGGGAAACTTGACTTCTCACCCAACCACTACTGACTCCTTCACAAAAAAAAAAAAAAAAAGCAAGCACCACTCTGATAATCCCAAACACTGGCAGTGACGAAACACCCACAAAAATGCTCTGCACCCTCCTCCTCATCCTCAAAACCCTCCACCTAACCCTCCAACAAGTCACCACCCACATCGCCCTCGCGCTCACCCCGCGCCTCCACCGCCTAACCTATCGCACCGTCCGGGACCCGAAGAACATCGTCGTCATCGGCGCCTCCTTCGCCGGCTACCACGCCGCCCGGGTTCTCGCCTCCACCCTCCCGACGGGCTACCGCGTTGTCGTCATCGAGCGGAACTCCCATTTCCAACTCACGTGGGTCCTGCCTCGGTTCTGTGTTGCGGCGGGCCACGAACACAAGGCTTTCATCCCCTACAGGGGGTATCTTGCGCCCGTGGCGGAGGGGGCGTATACATGGATTACTGGGGCCGTGGGGAGGATTGTTCTCGAGTCTGGTGCGGGAGAGGGGAAGATCGTGCTGGAGGAGTCGGGCGAGGAGATTGCGTTTGAGTATTTGGTTGTGGCGACGGGGGCAGTGGCTGCGGGGTTACCGTCGCGGGTTGGTGGGAGGACAAAAGAAGAGGGAATGGTGATGCTGAGAGGCGAGCAGGAGAGGATTCGGACCGCGCGGGATGTGGTGGTGCTTGGGGGTGGCGCGGCGGGTGTGGAGATGGCCGGGGATGTGAAGGAGCGGTATCCCGAAAAGAATGTTACGTTGGTGCACTCGAGGGAGAGGTTGTTGAATCGAGGGTATGGGGAAGGGTTGAGTCGGAGGGCGTTGGATGGGTTGCAAGCGCTGGGGGTGAAGGTGTTGTTGGGGGAGAGGGTTGTGATGGACGACCAGCTGGAGCTAATGGAAGAAGTCAAGTTGGAGTCAGGTCAAGTGGTGAAGTGTGATTGCTTGGTAGGTTGGGCGTGTATACTCTTGAGCGAGGAGCTTGCTGACGGTTGTAGATCAAATGCGTCGGGCAAAGGCCAAACTCAGGCTTGGTGGGAGAGGTGTCGTCTTCGTCCATCGCTGAGTCAGGGCACATTCGCGTCCGCCCTACTTTGCAGCTTGTGGATAAGGCCTGCAGTCGGATATACGCAGCTGGAGATGTGGTTGAGGTGGATGCGGTGCAGAATGCTCGTGGCGCATTTCAGCAGGCGGAGGTGGTTGCAAAGAACATCGTGCGAGCAATCAAGGGCAAGACTCTTGTCGAGTACCAGCCAAAGTGGTGGGAAGGTGCGACAAAGTTGACGCTTGGTCTGGTGAGTAGGCGTATCCACTATCAGCAGGCGAGGCTGACGATGTGCAGAAGAAGAGTGTGATGTACGTGAGTGACGGGTCGGCCGAGTTGATTCTTTCCACCAAGGGCAAAGAGGAGCTGGACAGTGCCCGCGTCTGGAAGTTCTTCGGGCTGAAGCCTTTCATCGATACTCAAGAAGAGAAGAGCACCTGAGAGAGGCTCTTTTGTTCTCAGCATATTTTATGCAATGCAAATCTCGTGCCATCTTCCTCTAAGCATGGACGCTCATTCTCAGCCAGTCCACTGGAGCCCGCCGCCGAAGTCGAACGTGTCGCGAACGTTCACAAGCAGCGCAGCATTTGCTGATGACGGTAGCCTCTTTCTTCTTCGACTTGTCTTGTTTGTCTCCCGCGCATCAAAAATTCTTTCTCAAAGCATCAACAAGCACAAGATACAGTCCAGCAGAAGTTCAAGCATTTCTGGGCCATGTGGAGCGACCAGTGTCATGCAAGCTTCCCATCTCGCCTTCAGTGACGAGGTCGACAGGCGCTTCTTGACAAGATTTGTGATTTTGGATCGCTTCAAAGGGGCCATTTTGCGTATCCGGTTTGTTCGATGAGAAGCTCTCAGATTGTATCTCTGGCTTTGCTATTGCTCAAGAAAGTGTTGTTGTGTCAGAGAAAGTATCATCAGACCTGACCGGGAAGTTGATGGTAGACATTGGAGTGTGAGTCAGTTTGTGCTGGTGTCAACATAGCATCACCTCGCGGGCAATTCTGACATCAAGAATAGGTTGCGACTTGACATTTTGTGATCATCATGCCGCACTTGCGGAAGTCGTAGACCCATTGCACCTTGCATCATCTAGATTCGGTTCTCCTAGTCTGTTTGATGGAAAACCCCCACAGAGCTCGACGTATGAATACCGCATTATCTTTGCTTCTCTGCCGCCTCCCCTCCGCCCAGTGACCACCCCAGCTATAGAAAGTAAAGAGGCAGCATGCGCATTTGGTGCTATTCCAAACAATGAGATATGCTCATTTTCCGGTCATCCAGGCGTCAGGCACGTGGGCTTAACGCCGATATTGTAAGGGCAGCTTTGAAAGGGCTGGCTTACCTTGCACGCCGTGCGGCAACTAAGGTACATACCTGTTGGCCGTCACGGGTCCATTTTGCCCCGCCTAACCGCGACGATAAGCAGGCTTTAATTATATTTAGTGTGATTCAGTGAAACTCGTCAAGACGCTGATGCCTAGATACCCGAGCGAATGAGGCGCCGCATGTTATACGAGTCAGCTTTAACCTAACCTGGGAAAAGGTCTTCTTTGTCCGAATCCTTCCTCCTGAATATGAAAATGCTTTCCTGCTCGCTGCAGGCAGCCTCATGCTGTTTTCTTCTTGCCCTCACATCAATGTTTGCAAACATCTCTACTGTATAAATATATATCTTCCATGGCAGACACTCCAGAGTTGTTCGAATTCACCGCGCAGAGACGCTTCCATCAGCGGTTCATTCTCCCCGCGACAGCAGATCATGGCCCGTTGGCTGTGACATATGCTGATGTTGGGCCGCGTCAGCACGAAGACGGAGCTCCGGTACCTACGATTTTAGCCGTTCCTGGTATGGCAGGGAGCCGACTATGGCTTTATCACAAAGACCACTTAGCAAATGTGATCGGAGCCAGAATACTATCCATCGATCGGTAAGTGGCTCGCTCGTATTCATCATTTATTCCGAATCGGATGCAAGTCAAGTTACTAAGAATAACAGCCCGGGGCTGGGCGGATCAACGCCTGTTCCAATCGAGAAGCGAGTCTCTGTCTGGCTAGAAACTGTGACAGCGCTGTTGGACTATCTGTCAATCTCGCATGTGGTGCCTGTTTCGCACAGTGCGGGCACCATTTACCTGTTGAATTTGCTTGTGCACAAGAGAGATTTGCTATGGCCTCAGACACCAATCGCAATGCTTCTCGGTGAGTGGCAGTGACTACGATAGCACCTCATACGACTTCGCTAACGGATCGGTCAGCACCCTGGGTCGAGCCCAAGCATTCCGATGTGTTGTCCATGCAGATGGCTCAGATGCTTCCTAAGGCGGTGCTTAATCAGTGGAACAAGCTTATTGGATTCACCTTGACTAAGGCAACACCTGCTTTTGGTGCCAGTTCAGGCATCCTGACGAATATGTCTTCCAGCTTACCCGGAATAGGCAAGAGCCTTGATCCCGAAGAAGCTGACGATTGTCTTACCACATACGGAATGCCTGTAGAAGCTGTGGAGAAGCTAGAGAAGATCACCATGGAGTACATGTTTACCGAAAGCTCCACCGGCATCAATGATGAGGCGATGATCTGTCTGAAGAAAGGGCCGCTGGGGCTGTGGGGGGCTTGTGAGGATCTCCCGGCTTATGTCCGGCAATTGGGGCAGTTGGAACAGGATCACAAGCAGCATCATCCACAAGAGGCGCCCCTGCGTTTGAAAGCTATTTTTGCGGACAAAGATAGTATGATCGGCTCCAAAGGGCAGCAGTACTTTGTACAGTGCTTTACGCGTGCCGAATTGGGCGGTGGTGTGGCTTTCGAATCCGTGGTAATGCCGGGGACCGACCACGATTCTATTTGGTCAACGCGGACAGGAGTGTTGGAGAAACTCATGTGGGACATCAAGGAAATCGCGCAGTAAATGCCGCAGGAAATCATGAGAGTTTCTCGTGTCTCAAAGAGTGCCCTGCGATAACATCAATTAATAATGCATCCGTGCTCACGGCATTTGTCAGCAGCTCCTTCGACACTTCTCTGACGCCATCTTGTAAAGCTTGCTGGGTGCAAATATAAGAACCTTCCCATTGTCCAAGCCTACCATGATATTCGATTCACTTACCAGATTGAACTGTTTGTGCCTGCCAAAGCCATCATGAGCCCCTCTACTCTCGTGGTCAAAGCCGACCACCTTCCCTACTACACTCCCGCCAATAATGCCGGCGCTGCCGTTCAACCCCGCGATGCCGCCACGCCGACCCTCTTCCGCCCGTTGACGATCCGCGACGTGACCCTCAAGAACCGTGTCGTGGTTTCGCCCATGTGCATGTATTCCGCTGAACCCGATCTGTCCTCTCCTCTTGTTGGCGCCCTAACCGATTATCACGTCGCCCACCTGGGCCATTTCGCCCTCAAAGGCGCCGGTCTAGTTTTCGTTGAAGCGAGCGCCGTGCAACCGAACGGTCGCATTTCCCCTAATGATGTCGGATTGTGGGACACAGCCCCGGAGTCGGAGCAAGTCAAGGCTCTCGAGCGGGTTGTACGCTTCTGCCACGCTCAGGGCGCCAAGGTCGCGGTGCAATTGGCCCACGCCGGACGCAAGGCCAGCACGACGGCTCCTTGGTTAGCCACGAAGGCCGGGAAGCCAACCTTGAAGTCGGACGAGGACGCATTCGGATGGCCTTCTGATATTGTCGGGCCATCAGGTGGGAAGGAACATATCTGGGACGGCACAGGCGAGGGATACTGGACGCCACGGGCACTGAGCACCGAGGAGATTGACGAGGTGGTCAAGGCCTTTGCCAGAAGCGCTGAGGCGGCCGTCCGAGCTGGTGTGGATGTCATTGAAATTCACGCAGCGCATGGGTATCTTCTCAATCAATTCCTGAGTCCGGTTACCAATAAGCGGACGGACAGGTATGGTGGGAGCTTCGAGAATCGCACCCGACTTCTGCGGGAGGTCGCGAGGGCTATTCGAGCGGCGATTCCCAGCGGCACCCCACTGTTTGTGCGTGTGAGCGCGGTCGAGTGGCTGGATGGAAAGGCTGTGGCGGCCGAGTCCGGCTCTTGGGATCTCGACAGCACGGTTCGCTTGGTTGCGGACCTGCCGGAACTCGGAGTTGATCTAGTGGATGTCAGCTCTGGTGGTAACCACAAGGACCAGAACATTCACATGAGCAACAAGAATTATCAGATTGACCTGGCAGGTCATATTCGCAAAGCAATTCAGGAAGCTGGGGCATCGACGCTTGTGGGCAGCGTTGGATACATCACGGACGCAGAGCAGGCGAAGGAGATTGTGGAAGGAGCGGAAGAGGCTCGCGCAGCGGAGGCCACCCTGTCTGGATCATTCCCACGCGCTGATCTGGTGTTTTTGGCCCGCCAGTTCCTGCGTGAACCGGAGTGGGTGATCAACGCTGCAAAGACGCTGGGAGTCCCGGTTGAAAAACCGGTCCAGTTTGGACGGGCCCTGTAGGGGGGCTAGAAGTGGGGTCATGAGAAACGATCTGATTGTTGTAAATAGATTTGTATGTTCTGAATAGATTTTGATCTGTTTCATTTTCCAGAGTTGAGTATCTGAGCTGAAGTATCTCAGAGGCAGGCAGGATGCGGGATGCGGACGGAAAGCGCCGAGGTCCTCGCGCTTGACCGCATCGGAGTGACGAGCTGCATAACAAGTAAGTTAACAACTCATCAACCGCCACTGATTCATCGATGTGTTCGCTCCCTTAAGAACGCCAACCCCGCACTTTCTCCTCGTCCTTCCCCCTCGTTTTCAATTGACTTTTGCCCAACAATCAACAACAATCAAATCCGTCTAACATCACCATGGCCCTGAAACCCGGAGACTCGTTCCCCTCTGACGTTGTGTTCCAGTGCGTCTTTAATTGCCAGGGTAAAGCGATGAATATTTACTGAGAATCTGTTTGTATAGGTACATCCCCTGGACCGAGGAGAGCGGCGAGATCACCTCCTGCGGAATTCCCATCAACTACAACGCCTCGAAAGAATGGGCCGATAAGAAAGTCGTGCTCTTCGCCGTGCCTGGTGCGTTCTAATTTACCCCATGTTTTTTCTCTCTAAGTGGAACAATGCGTACTAAGATGCGGATCCAAATCCATAGGAGCCTTCACCCCCACCTGCTCCATCAATCACGTTCCGGGGTACATCCAGAATCTTCCGCGGCTGAGAGAGAAGGGAGTGGAGGTGGTCGCTGTCATTGCCTCCAATGATCCATTTGTGATGAGTGCTTGGGGCAAGGCCAATAACATCAAGGGCGATGATATCGTATGTTGTTCAACCGAGTCTCCTGCTTCCCATCTGACGAGCCTAGCTCTTCCTCTCCGACCCCGATGCCAAGTTCGCCAACTCCATCGGCTGGGCGAACGGCGGCCGCACCGGCCGATTCGCGATCATCATTGACCACGGAAAGGTGACTTACGCACAGATTGAGACAGAGAAGGGAGTCAAGGTAAGACACCGGCTTGCATTCACCGGCTCTGTTTCAGGGGTTGCTAATCTTCAACATAGGTTTCTGGTGCAGACGCTGTGTTGGCTCATCTGTGAGGATAGTGAAGTGGGTAAAGCAAGTGAAGAAAGCTATAGAGAACAATTTCGTGCCTATCTTGTGTGTTCGTGTCTGAGAATTGAATCCCAGCGGTCGTGCTTTTGTAGTTCTGTAATCCCGAAGAGAACAATGCGTCGACCGCCATCTCCAGCTGGTTCAAAGCTTATACAATCGACTCTCGAATCTTCCACAGTCCTTTGCGGGTGATCCGGGGCAATCAACCACGGCATTGATGATGACTCCTGTGGACCAGGTCTACGACTCACGGACATGAAACAGTTCGTCGATTGGAAGCTATCAAGCGAGCATTGCCCAGCATGTATTAACCTGATTAGTTTCGGATCTCGGGCCAGCTCAGTCCTGAAGCTTATCTATAGTTAGTACTAGGTAGAGAGTACTTGTATCTTCTCCGCTGCTTGTAAATCCTTCCGAATAGCTTGTTTCAGTCTCCTTTTCGTCCGTAGCTTTGTCAACGCCCTGAACTTGCTCGAAAGTTGGGGTCTTCTTACAGCGTAGCGTGGGATGGGTGGGTCCACCCCATGCGGTGTAAGCAGCTTGCATGAAACCCCGGATTTAAGACCATTTCTCGGGAATACTGGACGATCTGCATCCAATCATGATATGGAAGCCCCTCTGGAAGCCCAGAGAAAGCAGTGGCATGTTTTATTGTGTAAGGAAAAAGAGGTGAGGGAATCCACCCGGGCTAGAATCCCACCGATAGCTCAAGAACCGACTAATCAGTTTTGAGGAAAGTCTCCTGTGCCCCGCCCGTTCCCGTTTTGTGCTGCTGAATAATCATGGTCGAGCTCTTGATGTCATCCATTTCTGCGACTGCAACATCTATATAAACCTCAAAGAAAGAGGCATTGATCGAGTGCAACGATATATAGTCAACTTCACATCGATCATACACTATTCATCATGGCTCCCAAGGTTCTCGTTGTCCTCACCTCTCAGGACCACCTCCCTGCTAACAACCACCCCACTGGTTGGTACCTGGTGAGGACCCCGCGATCCGCACGAAAGATCAATCTCTGTGACGATGAGCGACTGACACTGTCAATAGCCCGAGTTCGCTCACCCCTGGGAAGTTCTCCATGAGAAGGCCGAGCTGGTCATCGCCTCCCCCAAGGGTGGCAAGGCCCCTCTCGACCCCAGCTCCGTGAAGATGTTCGAGAGCGACCCCTCCTCGACCAAGTTCCTGAAGGAGCAGGAGGCTCTCTGGACCAACACCGTCAAGTTGTCCGATGTCGCCTCCAAGGTCTCCGAGTTCGACGCCATCTTCTACGTCGGCGGTCACGGACGTAAGTCTCTTTGTCACCCCAGCCTGTCGATTGAGAATGGTACTGATCCCCGCTAGCGATGTACGATCTGCACGGCGACAAGACGTCCCTGGCTCTGATCCAGGAGTTCGCTGCTGCTAAGAAGCCCGTCGCTGCCGTCTGCCACGGTCCTGCTGTGCTGATTAACGCGACCACCCCCTCCGGCGAGCCTCTTCTTGCTGGCGCGGAGGTCACCGGTTTCTCCAACACTGAGGAGGACCAGGTCGGCCTCAGCCCCATCATGCCTTTCATGCTGGAGACGGAGCTGAACCGCGTCTCCGGCGGCAAGTACGTCAAGGCTGATGAGCCCTGGGGCGAGAAGGTTGTCGTCTCTCAGGTCGCTGGTCTGGGTGGTGCTGTCATCACTGGCCAGAACCCGGCCAGTGCCACTGGTGTCGGAAAGGCAATCCTCAATGCTCTGGGATTGTGATTGATGCGATGTGTGAAATGATACCTAAATATGCCGGCCTGATAAATCTAATTAGTGATTAATCGATATCTTTGTTCACGAGGGTTGTTTACTTTTGATCTGAGACATAGATTGCCGCGGAGAGGTGCTTGACTGATCCATAAAACCCCAGTACTCAACACCACCGCTTCCCGCAGGATGCGATAACGACTCGAAACGCTGGGGCTGAGACACGTTGCCTGTACCTTACCTTTCCATATCCTCTGGTACTATCTCACTCAACGAACTTCAGAAGCAGAAATCTCAGTGATGAGTCTTTCATACTTTCTCCTAAAGCAGGCTGTGTCAGTCTACATGCCGAGAAACAATGAGGTAACATGTCATCTTGGCTAGGATCGTTCCATAGAAGATAGATCGGAACACATACGCCGACGGAATCAGGCAACGGTCGACCTTTCCTTCATGACGCCAATTGACGTCTATAAATTGATAGTATGGCTAGACAGAATCTACACCTGAAGCCTTCCTGGGTGTAAATCTGTCAAATTGCGAGAGTCACTCTTAAGTACGATCATTGACCCTTGACGACTAGATCTACATCTTAGACATTATCCATCATGAGTGCCACCGACATGACCATAATCCTAGACACCACACTCGACGACCTCTACTCGCTGGACAGCGACGAACCTCATGGGGTGGTGACTGCGTACCCACACCCCAGCCAGCCCTCGCGGGCGATGCCTCACCCCTTCTCGTCCGAGCACTTCCTGTACGGCATCACCTTCCCCAACACCACCGCCCCGAACGCGACGCAAAACATCCTGGAGCGCGGCATCGCGCAGCGCTACTCCTTCATCGCCGGCCGCGCGCCCGTCATTCTGTTCGACTCGCTCCCCGCAGCCACCGACGCGGAAAGCCAGAACAAGCCAGAACAACCCCCGTCCCCAGCCATCGCCGATATCCTCACCCTCCACGCCCAGCTGCACCCGACCCAACGACCAAAGCTACAGTTCCCCCGCAACGCCTCCGCAATCGCCCCCCTCCCGCCCAACACACAGATCGCCATCATCGTCCCGCAAGACGAACTGGCCCACCTCCCGCACATCCTCCCCCCAGAGACCCACTACCACCTCCTCAGCAAACGGTGGCTCGCACTCTCCTCCCTCCCGACGCCGACCTCCATCATCATCGACCCCACCACCCCCCAAACAGCGGACCACCCCGCGGCCATCGAAGCAGAAATCACCCGCATGCTCCGCCCCATCCAGACGTACCCCTCCCTACCCTTCGTCATCAAAGTCTCCGTCGCCGCCTCCGGCCGCGGCACGTTTCTAATCCGCTCCGAACCCGACAGATCGGACGCCTGCATCCGCCTCCGCGCCATCCTACACACCTCCTTCCCGCACGTCACGCCGCAGAACGCCCACCTCCACCCCCTGACCCTCATCCTCCAGCCCTTCGTGGCGGGCGAGGCCCACGGCATCTCCTTCTTCCTCACGCAGACGGGCAGGGCGATCTTCCACGCGGCCTCGCGGCAGCAGTTCAACGCCCAGGGCCAGTGGTGCGGCGGGTGGGTGTCGTTCCCTGCGCAGCGTCGGCTCAAGGAGCGGTACTGGGGGGTTGTCGTCGCTTTGGCGGAGAGTTTACATGCGGAGGGGTATTACGGGCCGGTTGGGGCGGATGTGATGACCGAGGAGAATGGGGGGCGACACGTGATCGTGGATGTGAATCCGCGGGTGACGGGGTCGTATCATCTGGGGTTGTTGCGGGGGCATTTTGTGGGAAGGGGTTTGATGGAGGTGGCGGTCTTGTCGCCTGTGTATGTTGTTGGGGATAGAAGCGGGTGGGTGCAGAGGTTTGCAAGGGAGATAGAGGATGGGAGGATGATTGTTACGGCTTGGGTGCAGGGGGTGGAGGGGGGGAGGAGTTATGTAGCTGTTACGGTGGGTGGGGAGGATGAGAGACGGTTGAAGAGGCTGGTTGGGGAGGTGGAGGCTTTTGTTCGGGAGGGTGAGTCGGTGGTTGGAGAGTGAGAGTATGTACAGCAGTGTACTGTATGCTTGGGGAGGTAGATAGATAAGGTAATCGCATCCATAGTGTTGTTTTTTTCTATTTTAGCTTCACCCGACCTTCGTCTTGATGGAACTAAAGAATACTAGATCCCACAGCAGAACATCGCCCTCAAGCGATCCCAAGGCCGTGAGCTACTCATCCATTGCGCCTGGAGACTCAGCGCCTCCCCCTCCCTTTCCTCACCCCACTTCTCATTATACTCCTCATCCACCGCACAAGTAGTCGCAGACACATCATCCTTATACCTCATCTCCTCCTTGGGGGCCTCAAACCCCCGAATCGACTCCACCACCAACTCAAACTCCCCCTCCTGCTCTCCAAAGAAACTATAAATCACAACCATCAGCACAAATCCCTTCCCCCAAAGCAAGACACCCCCCCCCCCAAGTTTCAAGGAGAAAAGAAAAAAAAAACTCACCTCCTCACCATAATCCCCACCCTCCTCACCCTCTCCAAATCCAACGGCTTGACCCCATCCCTCACCTCCCTCCCACGGTACGTCGGCCGAAACGCCTTCCACGCGAACCGCAACCTCCCACCCCCTTCCGGCACGGTGAAGTCCACCTCCCACGACAGCGAGCTCCGCTCCCGCCCGTCCGGCCGATTCGGCAGGATCTCATCCTTCAGCGTGAGGGTGTAGCGCTTGTCGTCGGCGCGGGGGACATGCACCTCTAGCCCCGAAAACCGGGAGAGGTCCCATTCTTTGGTCGTGGTGGTCGTGCGTTGGGAGGCGAAGCCGGCGCCGCCCAGGGTGTGGATGTCGAGGGTGCCGTGGAAGCGGGCTGTGGTCTTTTCGTCGGAGGAGGAAGAAGGCGTGATGGTCAGGTAGGAGTGGGAGGCGCCGCCGCGGACGCGGTCGTCGGAGGAGGTCCAGTCTTCGGGGGTCCAGGGGCTGTTTTTGGGTGGGTTAGTGGGTTAGTGGCTTGGTGGAGGTGGAGGTGATTGAGGGGGGTGTTTGGTCGGGACTTACTTGGGGCCTCCGAAGAGGTAGGTTGATGTTGTGGGTGACATTTTTAGGGATGTGTGTGTGTAGTTCTGAGAAAGAAACAAGGGGAATTGGGCTGCGCGGGGTAAGAATGAGAAAGAAAGGTAGGTGGTTTTTTTTGTGGATGTTGTTGATTCCAGTTCAAGAATCGCGGCAATCGGGATCGGTGGGTTTTTCGGCATGGATGACGTCGGGATTGCGGAGCGCCCCCGATTGCGGAGCTCGGTTGGGTTTAGCTTCGGTAAATGGGGATGGTCCCTTTTACATTTTCCATGATGGCGAGTGGCCAGAATTGAGCTTGTTTTTGTCTATCACGAAGAACAGCTCTGCCGTGGCTGTTTCGTGGGAATGGAGCCGTGGAGGACCGGGGAACGTCGATCTGGCCCAGTCTAGATCTTCGAGCTTGGACTTTGTCAATCTTCCGCAGGTCGCGAGACTTTGCCTGCGTGTCTTTCATGCAATACTCGGGTATTGGTTATAGGTATGCACCAATTTGATCTGTCAGGTTAATCTTGGTCCAAGAGTCTTAATTCACGACCGTCGTTGGCCCAGAAAATATTGCGCACTCGAGAGCATCAGGCTTAGAGTCGATGGCCTGAAGTTCTCGATCTCTGGAATCTAACATAATCGCACTCAATGTAATGTTCTACAGTGAAAACGCGGCAATGATATCTACGTGTAGTTCACGAACAGAAATGATGGGTGGATAAATGAGCGCGTAGAAGACTGGCTCGATCAATTCTCTGTGATTGTACTGTATGGGGCAGACCCAAAGCGAAGATCGAGTATCTTATCGGCTCAAGCTTATCGGGTCATGCCATGACAACGCCTGGAAGAAGCAGTTTGGTTGAGATCTGGACACGCATGACCACCACCCTCGCCACTCGAATCAGCCAAATCCACAGGGCTCATGTCAACGTCTTCCTGACGCAAAAAAATGCATCCCATGGTACTCCGTAGCCACATGTGTTCTGTATATCCGGCGGAACGAAACATATCCGACGGATATACGCGTAGTACTTGACGTCATGTGTATGTAGTCTCAACCACAGCATATATCAACAATTGAGTCCTCTCGTCGATTGTGGTAGGAGGCTATTGCATTCAATCATATCTCCTGAAAGCAAGCACTCTAAAACCAGAATCATCCACCACCACCACCAAACCCCGTTCCACAGCAATCGTCATCATGGTTGCACACTCCGGAGGCATCACGAACGGCCACCCTGGCTCAGTTCGGTAAGTCATACTATGTTTGTCATCGACAGTGCATGTAATGCAGACACTCATAACTTCATGTAGTTCCCGAAATCTCGCCCTCTTCAGTATCTTCGGCATGATTGCCGGCGCCGCTCTCGTCTTCCGCGCCCAGTCCCCCAGCAAGGATGAGAAGCTGGTCTCAAACAAAGAATTCCAGACGAAGGTTGGAGGGCACCCGGGAGAGGACCGAGTGGGACGGGCACCGAGCCATCAGCCCAAGAACTGATCTGAAGGGTTACTATGAATGTTATGATTATTGAGATGTGACTATACTGTACCTGTACATAAAACGAGTGGCTGGGCTATATCGCATGGAATATCATTGTTGATGAAGTCTCTCTGTTTCAACATGATGAGCAATACGTCCTCCAGTTTAAAGTGTGCTGTACAGCGCTACCTCGACGCTTCATGAACATAAACGCCGTTCTCAAAATCAGTGCCAATAGTTAGGCGCAACCCCCCGAATCAACCCCCAGGCCTCCTCCAGCACCTCGACCACCTCCTCCGGCAACGGCTCCTTCTCCAGATCCGCCAGATTCTCCTCCAGATGCCGGACACTACTGGCCCCAACGATGATCGCATCCCCCAGCTCCGCCCGCAACTCGGAATGATACTTCAGCCACCGCAGCGCCACCTCCGCCACCGTCAACCCCAACCGCGCACACACCTCCTGGATCCTCTCCAGGGCATCAAAGTACGTATCGTTCCAGTACCGCCCGCGCGCCACCGCGCCCTGGACGATCGCCGGATCGAAGCGCGACCCGGCCTCGAACTCGGTCTGGTGGCGCGCGTACCGGCCCGTCAGGAACCCGCCGGCCAGCGGCTGGAACGCGTACAGCGCGAGGCCGTACTTCCGGAGACAGGGGAGGAGCTCGGGCTCCACGCGGCGCTGCAGCGCGTGGTACACCCCCTGGTAGACCGTGGGGCGGATCCAGCCGTGGCGGATGCAGAGCTCGCAGATCTGCGCCACCTCCCAGGCCATGAAGTTGCTGAGGCCGAAGCGCGCGAAGCGGCCCTCCGCGTGGAGGCGGTGCACCTCGCGCAGGGTCTCCGCGAACGGCACGCGCCGGTCCGGCCCGTGCAGGTAGAACAGGTCGACCTGCGCGGCGTCGAGCGCGCCCAGGCTGTCCTGCAGCCCCCGCCGCACGTCCGCAGCCGTGTGCGTGTACGTCTCCACCCCCGGGACCTGGCTGCTCGCGTTGGGGTACAGCTTCGTGGCCACGGTCAGGCCGCGCGACTGCCAGGCTAGCGCGGCGAGCATTTCCTCGGACGACCCGTGGCCGTAGAGTCGCGCGGTGTCGATCTCGCGGTGGTGGTGTCTTTGGAAGGTGTCGAGGATGGTGGATGCGGTTGCGTTGTCGGAGACGCGCGCACCCAGGGTGTCTATCTCTCGCTTAGGGTCGTGCTTCGGTCAGTGGAGGGGGGGTGTGGTGGATGCGTACTGGGCTTGCCAAATGTCATGGCGCCGAAGACGATCTTGAGGTCGGTGTTGTTGGCCATTGCTGCTGTTGGATTTCGGCTGTGTTGGTGAATGTGAGATTGTACTCACTTTGTGTTGTCGAGCTGAGAAATGATTCCTGGGGCTGACGCACTGCTTATATGCATCTTCATAGACGATGCTCTTTGTCTCCTCGTGTCAGCCTGGAGGTTATTCCCGTAGGAGATAAGTCATGACAGCTAACTCCGGCTGCCAAGCCCAACGCTTAAAGTGCTGAACGGTGTCCACTGCAATAACTTAGATGAAGGCGATTTCCAATACGAGCCGTGGCTGAGACTTGCTACGTCATCTCGCCAAATTCAAGCCCATCGTTATGTTCGTCTCACCTGCAGCTGCGGATATTTCCGCAACCGTCAAGACCAAGCCGAACAGCCGAGCAATCAACAGATGCTTGACTCGACGGGGCGGGGCGATTGGCAGTATGTCAGAATCTCGAGATAGAGATTGTTTCTAGTTCTCTCGTGCGACCCGAGATGAAACCCGTGCAAGCGACATGCAGGTCTCCGAGCTATAGCCGTCGGTGTCCCCGGCGTGCGCCAATCTTATGTCCGAGTTAATCTCCGGAGGTGAAAATGGAACAGACCTGTAGAATATTCTGTTATAAGGCTATTGATCGACATTCTTTGTTCTGAGCTTACTTCCAGTCTTCCAGGACCCTGCAGAATGCCTCGTTGAGCTAGAGTGGGTATGCGTCGGAATTGGTGGCATTGCTAGTTCCATGCCAGCATATGCAGCTGTGAACGTATGCGTGGTGCTACCACTGCACGCACCAGGCTCTCTGTGACTGCATACACTACGTCCTCATAAATGAAATAGAGCCGTCTGTGATATGTGGACTGGCGTAAGACACTCTTTTGTGACTGACGGGGGAAAATATGATCTGAGCTTCTGTGTTGCTTCGAAATGTGTACAACAAATACCTACGTATATATACTCAGTATGTGGGTCGGTTTGCCGTACAATCTCTGGCCTAAACATATAGATGATAGCATCCTCACCACGGCAGACTAGGTTAGAACAATACACAAAAGATTGAACCAGCCTGATAGTTGCATTTCTTTGTCATTGATGCAGGCTCCAGCTTCGAGGCTCTTCTTCCGGATTCAAGTCAGACTATGCATGGATATCAACCGAGGCTCGAATAGGCCGATCCCGGAGTTCCGGGCTCCGATCGCCGGACAGGCGGTACGGGAAAAATACCAAGCGGCTGCCTGCAACTCTCAGTCAGGCTGAGTGTGTGTGTGGTGAAGATAGCCTAAACGCGAATCATGGCCTCTGAGTTTGAGATAAATACGGTGTAATTGTTAGGGGAGTGCGGTGATTACTTATGCTTATTATGGGGTGGTCCGGAGAGATTGGCCCGAGCCTTCAGCCTGGCTCGCTGATTGGTGTCTCTCGCCGGCCCGGTCGAAGCTCTGATTTTAGCTCGGTTTGTTGTGGAGGCACCGATTTCTCGTCCGGTCTATTCACCACCTTCCGGGCTGAGTCCTTCTCCTAGCACGCCATTTGGAGGCGTGAGAAACAATCAGCAACACTTGGACTGACTTTCATAGGGCAGACAAGTTCTTGCAACGCAAAGTGCGCCCCAAATGACGTTTGACCCTCGATGCATGAAGCATGCCTTGTCCCTTCGTCGATGGCCACCATCATCTGACATCTGTGAACTATCGTTTTCCAATTGAGGCCGCTGTCGCCCACCCCTTCACTCTTTCGAGCTCGGGGAATTCCGAGCGGGGTATGACAAGCCGTGCCTCGCGGGCTGGCCACGAGCTTATCTGTTGCCACGACGGCTGCCGCTGGACTGCACCACCACTCTTGGCAAGCGGAAAGACCTTCCACTCTCCGTGTCAATGCTTGTTGTCTCCTCTTCCTCCGTACGTGGGGTAGATGGTTGATGGCTGCAGGGTGGCCTGACGGCAACTAGCATAGTTGACTCCGCTTTGGATGGCGTGCGACTCTCGTGGTTCGTCGTGCTATCAGCTCCAGTTGTTGAGAATCGAACTAAAATACGCAAGCAAAACCGCCAGCCAGGCCCGGATGCAATGAGCAGCGTTACCCACCTGCTGTCGGTTCTGATACCTTTCTTGCCCGGCCAATCACGAAAAGAGCGATATCAGAGTGTCGTTGACTATCTTGACCTTGGCTGGCAAGCTAGATAAGCCCTCCAGACGGTGCGGTCTCAATATCTGCTCTGTCGCAGTTGGAAAGAGGTGAATGAGAACAGACTTGAGGATGACCTTTCCCTGCGTCGAAGCAAGAAGTAAGGGTTGCATGAGTACCTAGTAGGTAAGGAGTAAGACCTCTGGGCTATGGCAGGGAATGTCTAGGGCGGATGGTGTGCTTTTAGGCGTTGTTGCCATATCGGGTGGGTCTATCGTAAGCCAGCATCTGCAGACGCCCTCCAACTATTGCAGCCCCCCTGCTCCCCTCCTTCTCTGTATCGCTGCTGCACGATACACCCGCGGTGGCGATCAGATATCGAATCCATCTTTTTCACTATAAATGCCTGACGGTCGGCTCGGTCGCATACTGTCGCCCCTCGCTTCAGATTCATCGTTGTGACACTCCAAACTCCCCACCATGGCTTCGGAAGTCGGTGCCACCGGCAAGCCCAAAGACGAGATTGAGACACACTTGGCAGGAGTAGACGCTGATGGGAGTAGCTTGGAGCGCAACGAGGAGAAGGAGGAGGTGAACGTTGCCGAGATCCGAGAAGTCACTGCAGTTGAGGCCTTTACATGGAATGTTGATGGCGATCAATCACCTTGTAAGTGATTTAGATGGGCGCGGTTCGTTTGACCAATGCATTGCACATACTGATCGCTCAAACACTGCGCAGTCCCCGAAGTAGCTGCTTGTGTGCCCAATACGGATGATCCTAATACGCCATGCAACAGTCAGTACATCAAAGCTCTCGAGTTGGCTTTGGGCCTCTGCTAACACTCTGTAGCGGTGCGCGCCTGGGTGCTGACCACAGTGTTTGTCATGATTTTCGCGGCCGTCAATCAATTCTTCAGTCTCCGTTATGTGCGTCAAGCTGGCTCCTTTCTGCGCATGGGGGTAAATGCTGACAAGACTAGCCCTCGCTCACTCTCCAATATGTCGTGGCTCAGCTGTTGGTCTATCCGGTTGGAAGAGCATGGGAGAAGCTCCCGAGGTGGAGGGTACCCCTGGGCAGATTTACGTTCGACATCAATCCCGGGAAGTTTAGCATCAAGGAGCATGCTCTAATCACTATCGTGAGTTGCTGGCGCGATCCACTACCTGTGCTATAAGCCCATCTGACTTGACATCAATAGTGTGTCAACATTAGTGCCAGCACGGCATATGCTTCGGGCTCTCTTGTAGCCATCACGATGCCCCAGTACTGGAATCGTGATTTTGGAGCAGGCTTCGCCTTCATCTACCTCCTGACATCCCAGATGCTAGGGTAAGATCTGCCCCCGTCGCTGGTAATGACCCTGTCTAACCAAATCAGCTTCGGGCTGGCTGGGCTTGCGCGTCGCTGGCTCGTCTATCCAGCTGCACTCATCTGGCCGTCATCGTTGTCGTCGACGGTGCTGTTCCGAGCACTCCATGAACCGGAAAGTCGCGCAACAGTCAACGGCTGGAAGATGAGCCGTTATCGCTTCTTTGCCTATTTTACTGCCATCGGCTTTGTGATCTATTGGTTCCCAGACTACATCTGGACCAGTCTGAGCACGTTCGCCTTTGCCACCTGGATTGCCCCAAAGAACCAGAAGGTCAACACCATCTTTGGGGTAAGTGTTCCTTCAATCCTTTTTGGTGGGGTTGGGACTGACATGTGCAGATGAATTCTGGCCTGGGATTGATTCCAATTAGTCTCGACTGGACTCAGATCAATTATGCAGGATACCCCCTCATGACCCCCTTCTATATCACCTGCAATGCATTTGCGGTGGTGGTCTTCTTTTATCTCTTCCTCTCGCCGATTCTGTACTACACGAATGTCTGGAACAGTGCATAGTGAGTCGAGTCATGGTCTACCAAATTATGAGTACTTTCTAATTTCCTTTTGCGCAGCCTGCCTCTGCTTTCCTCTTCCACCTTCGACAACACCGGAAGCTCCTACAATGTTTCTCGAGTTGTCGACGAAAACCTGGACTTTGTGCTCAGCAAGTACGAACAGTACTCACCCATGTATATCTCCATGTCCTACTCGCTCACCTACGGCCTCTCGTTCGCCGCTGTGACGGCCGTCGTGGTGCACACCTATCTGTACAATGGCTCGGAGATCTGGGCCAAATTCAAGAACTCTCGCCACGGCGGTGAGGATATCCATCGGCGGCTCATGCATGCTTATCGGGAGGTGCCTGATCTTTGGTATGGGATTCTGTTCGTTGTCACGGCCGGACTGGGCATCTTCACCGTCAAGTATTGGGAAACCGGCCTGCCCGTGTGGGGCTTCATCGTCGTGTGCTGCGGCATGTGCGTCTTCTTGATTGTGCCCGAGGGGATCCTCGAGGGGACCACCAACCAGCGTGTCTTCCTGAACATCATCACCGAGCTGATTGCGGGATATGCTTGGCCCGGAAAGCCGATCGCGAACATGATGGTCAAGTGCTATGGGTATAACTCGGTCAAGCATGGAATGGATTTTGCGCAGGACCTGAAGTTGGGACAATATATGGTGGGTGTCCAACATGTTTGTTTGAAGGATCGACTCTAACTGGCGCAGAAAATCCCGCCGCGGGTCCTCTTCTTCGCCCAGATCTACTCCAGCATCTTAGCCACCATGACTCAGACCGGCGGTATGTTCTCTCCACCAGTTCAGGTGACACCCCAAGCTGACACTCGCTAGTCTTTCGCTGGATGATGGGCAACATCACGGGGCTGTGTGACCCAAAGAACTCGCAGAAGTTCACCTGTGCTGGTGCTAAGGTAATGTATAACGCCTCGTTGATCTGGGGAACCATCGGCCCGCAACGCATGTTCCAGTCGGGGCAGGTGTACAACGCGCTTATGTACTTCTTCCTCATCGGAGTAAGTCCTCCCCCATCCCCCGTGTCGATGGACCTAACGTTATGTTTAGCCTGTGGTGACCTTAGCTGTGTGGCTAGTCTACCGCCGCTACCCCAACAGCTGGGTTAAGTACATCAACGTGCCCATCTTCTTCAATGGAGCGGGCAACATCCCGCCTGCCAACACCAGTCTGTGCCCATCCTTGCTTTTCTCTGGTGTAAACATGCTGACACCCCGCAGCGCAATATTCTCTCTGGTTCATCTTCGGATACGTGTTCATG